CATCACTTGCCCCAGACATAAGAACATAAGAGAAGCCCATGTTGGGTCAGGCCAGTGGCCCATCCAGTCCAACACTCTGTGTCACACAGTGGCCAAAACGACCAGGGGCCATCAGGAGGTCCACCAGTGGGGCCAGGACACCAGAAGCCCTCCCACTGTTGAGCCCCCCCCCAAGCACCAAGAAGACAGAGCAAAAAAACACAAAAAACCACAGAGCATCAGTTGCAGTCTGATGGCCCTTTACAGATAACCGTACGAAAAATTCTATCGTCCTGACCCGGACGGTCCAGGCTAGCCGGATCTCATCAGCTCTTGAAACCTAAGCGGGGTCAGCCTTCGTTAGTACCTGGAGGGGAGGACCACCAAGGAAGCCCAGGGTCGTTCCGCAGAGCCAGTTGGTTTGTCTCTTGCACTGAAAACCCCGGGTGTGTGTGTGTGTGTGCTGAAGTCGGACGTGACTTGACGGCAGTTTCCCCTACCTGGCGCCCTTTCCCGCATCCCCAGTTCACAAGAGGGATCCCTGTTCCGGATATCCTTGCGGTTGTGCTGACCGAAGTTTATTTATTTATTTGTTATCCGATTTATACCCCTCCCTCCCAGCCGAGGCCGGCTCAGGGCAGCTTACGTAAGAGAATAAAAACACACAGGTAAGCCATTTGTTGTTGTTGTTGTTCAGTCGCACAGTCGAGTCCGACTCTCCGCGACCCCATGGACCAGACCACGCCAGGCCCTCCTGTCTTCCGCCGTCCTCTGAAGTTGGCTCAATTTCATGTTCCTTGCATCTCTGACACTGTCTAACCATCTCATCCTTTGCTGTCCCCGTCTTCTTTGACCTTCGGTCTTTCCCAGCATCAGGGTCTTCTCCAGTGAGGGCTCCCTTCTCATTGGGTGGCCAAAGTAGTTGAGCTTCATTTTCATTATCTGGCCTTCCAGGGAACAGTCAGGGTTGATTTCTTTTAGGATGGACTGATTCGATCTCCTTGCAGTCCAAGGGACTCTCAAGAGTCTTCTCCAGCACCATAAGCAATTTAAATAATGCTAAAACCATACAAAACATCCTGACGTTAAAAGGTGCTAACATGAATGATACTAAGGTTAGGTGATTAACTGATGGCAGCCGACCTTTTTTGTTCCATCCTAGCAGTCCGGCCCTGGATCTAACTTCTACAGCTGGCACGGGCTATTCTGATGACTTCAGGGAACAGGGTTCTCTATCGGGGGCGGCTCCTAATTCTACTCTTATAGATGAGACAAAAAACTGGACATTATCTATAGAATCTTGTTCAGAAGACGGAACGTCGAAACGACACAGGACATTCCGGAGCACGTCGTTAACATCGTTTGCTTCGTTAAAAACCACTTCTGTTTGTTTGAAACTGACTGTATTTTAGTATTCCAACCTTGTAAAAAAAGCATATCACTTTAACTTCTTTAAACAGCATCTATTTCCTGATTTTTGCAGTACTGTATTATTTAGTTCAGCACTCTTATCACAGTAATAATCCCTGTGTGGTGTAATATCCATATACTGTGTACCATACTCTGTTTAAAAGGAAAAGGTTCCCTTGCTCGAAAGCCAGTCGAATCCGACTCTAGGGTTGCGATGCTCATCTCCATTTCAAAGCCGAAGAGCCAGCGCTGTCCGAAGACGTTTCCGTGGTCATGTGGCCGGCATGACTAAACACCAAGGCGCATGGAACGCTGTTCCCTTCCCACCAAAGTGGTACCTATTTATCTACTTGCAATTTCTTGCTTTCGAACTGCTAGGTTGGCAGGAGCTACAGGGAAATGCTAATTTTAAAAGGTTTTAAAAGATGGTGTCCTAGTGGTCAGCCCATAGATGTAACCTTGTGCAGCTGGCACAGGCTGTTCTGATGACTTTAGGGAACAGGGTTCCCTATCTGCTTAACTCCTAATTGAAGACCTGGCAGAAGAGCTCTGTCTTGCAGGCCCTGAAGAACTGCATGAAGTCCCGCTGGGCCCTGATCTCTTCTGGGAGCTCATCCCACCAGAGCGGAGCCGCCACCGAGAAAGTCCTGGCCCTGGTTATTTATTATTTATTTATTTCATAAGATTTTTTTACCCCGCCCTCCCAGCAAAGCCGGCTCGGGCATCCTTGGGTCCGGGAAGGGCCAGTCGATGTTGGGACCCTGATCGCAGTGCCCTCCGGGGAACATGTGGGGAAAGGCGGTCCCTCAGGTATGTAGGTCCGCAGGGCTTGTAAAACAGAGCTCTTCCACCAGGCTCTCGATTAGGAGCCGCCACTGATGAACGAGCCACCGGACCACACTATGGCCCATATGATACACCGGTGGATACTGTCTTCCACTATGGGATTGTATACTGAATGCCGCCATCATTTGCACTGTGCATGGACGGCTTCAAAAGGGAATTAGATAAGCATATGGAGCAGAGGTCCATCAGTGGCTATTAGCCACAAGGTATAGATAAGGACTCTGGGGCAAGTGATGCTCTGTCTTCTTGGTCCTTGGGGGGGGGGGTCAACAGTGGGTGGGCTTCTAATCTCCTGGCCCCATTGGTGGACCTCCTGAGGGCACCTGGTATTTCTGGCCACTGTGTGACAGAGTGTTGGACTGGATGGGCCATTGGCCTGATCCAACATTGGCGTCTCTTATGTTCTTATGATTCCCCACTCCTCCACTTGCAGCTGCTGGATGACCTTGGGCAAGCC